ATTTATATTTAGTGATACATTCGGTGACTCAAACTTTAGTTGAATTTTGAAATGGAAATTAGCGCGGCGGTGAACGTGTTAACGAGAGCTGAAAACTGGAGAAAGAAAGAGAGAGGGGGAGAGAGAGTTTATAAGCACGCGGAGCGCATTCTCGAGCGTTCGTCTGCACTTCTCTTCGAATTGCTGACGGAAACGACACGAACTGAACGTCGAGCGTCGACGGCGTCGTCAGTTCTAGCAAATTATCCGCTTAGGACTGAAATAAACCGAAGCGAAGCGGAGGAACGCGATGTTTCTCGCTCCTTAAGCTCCTCCGTGCGCAAGGGCCAGTTGGTCGGGATCGACACGACGGGTTATTATTGTTCCGTCAGTATTGAAGAGAAGAAACGCGATGCGCTCGCGAGCCGGGCGCTTTAACGTCGATCGTGCGCGGTCGTGCAATTAGCGGTGGCCCTTAAACCTAATCGCCGGCCGGGATCTAATCGTGATTTCTTAGGCACACAGAGTATATTAAGTGCACGATAAACAGCAACCGAAATAAAATAACATAGAGTTCTTTATTACAAAATTTGTTCACAAAATATATATACATATATTTAAAATAAATTTTTAGAAGATACAACAATAAATATAACCGTGAATTTTTAATATAGATACTAATTTACTTGTCAGAAGATACAATCTGTCAGAAGGACAGCAATGTAGGGCAGATAGAACTCCTCCAAGATATTGACAGTTATTGGTTATCGGTCCATCCAGTATAGTTTATTTTTTTTTTCTTTCTACACTTATGCCTGCGTCCCGCGAAAGAACATATAACGCACGTACATCACTCGTCCGCCCATCGTCGCCATGTCGTGCGTCCCGACAGGCTCCGCGGCATAAATCAATATTCCGCCGGCGAATAATTGCGTCTCGCGGAAAGAGTCTTACGGCGCCGGCGAAGAATCTCGCCCATTCGGACGCGGTAAATGAAGCGCACCTGTTCACGCATACGCGGGCACACGCACGCGGTTCCGTGCGCGCCTTATTATCCTCATTTGAAGTCCCGTCCTACGAGTCATGCCAGATAAACCTGTTATATCTTTTCCGGATCTGGTTCCGCGACGGCGAATGCGAGCGTACGCGCGCGCGTAAGCGACGCATATTAAACAATTGGAATTTATAACGCACCGCCGAGTACGACGAGCGCGCGTTATGCCGCGATTTTTCGCGCACACTGCCCGCCGTCCTCGCGAGTCAGCACCGCGACGGCTGCTCACTTTCGCGTTGTGAACGCGTTCACGTTGAAACGCTGTTCACGTATTCGCGTCATCGCGTCGTTTCCTCGCGGTTTCCGTTCATTGATCTGGAATCGGTGCGAGGTAACTGGAAATGTTTTCGAATCGACATTAAACGCAGTTTCGTTAAATGCATTGCGCCCGAGGGATTATTGCCGTTCACGCGGAGAAAAATAATTTTGTTATTGCAATGAAATCACACACGCACACACAGACACGCGCACGCATCTCTCTTGTAAAAAAACGTTTGAGTAGAAATAGTTTTGTTATCAGGATAGAAAATGTTCTGCTGAGTAAATTTGATCATAGTCGTGTAAGAAGGGTCCAACCTTAAAAATTATGATTTCCTAGACTTTGTTATCAACGGGTAGTCTATACATCTTTCTGTATAAAACAAAATGATGTAAACTTTACAGGCCTGTTTTTCTACATTGATTAATTTGCTCTTGCAGCAAAATGATTTGTAGATTCAGCAGCATAATTCAGCGAATGGTAATTAATACTCTTAACAAATCTTAAAAAATCGTTTTGCTGTCCATACGGTAATTGATCAATTCTGCCGCGACAGCATGAAATTTGCTGCGCCCGCAAATTATTTTCTCCATTGCATATATACTTTCTCTGTACTCTTATCGCGTCTCAAACGAAGCGAAAATATGTGGTGAGTGGTAAAAAGTTTGGACACGGGATGCGTTCCGAAACTTACCAAAGGGATGTGTTGCAATCTTTTCGTATCTGACCACGTGCACGGATGTCGGAGGAGCGAAGAAACTGCGGAAACATCGAAAAATCGTAGCTGATGGAAGTGCGGGCCTTACGAGGGGGGACCTAAATCACACCGTTCCCAAGAGATGAAAATAAATTCTCCCGCACAGACCTAAACTATAATTCACAGCGGGAGGGAACGAATTAATACGAAATTGTCTTATAACTCCGCTCATGTGGATTAGGCTCTCATTAGTACAAATTTCTCATAATAGGTAGGCCTTTCGGGGCTATTTTTCACGCGATCCACGAAGCCCTGTAACTGTATCTTCGTAATCGAAATAAATCACGAGGTGGATGTAACCTGCGGTTTGCAGCGAGAACGAAAAGGTTAACATGGCTCGGATCTCCTTTTCTCTCTCGTCCGTACATCCGTACGTATGTACGTTTTTTCGCCCTCCTTCCTCTCCCGCCTGTCGGCCGTCACGATCCACAGCTGACCGGCTTGACGACCGCCACGGGAAGGAACGGCAGTTCTCGTTTCGGCTGGTGATGCGCCTCGCGGTGTGTTCCAGTTGCCGGCATCTCACCGTCGATTGTCCGGTAGGCGGCTAATAGCCGCCTCACGTTAGGAATAATAACGGGGGCCAGACGTATCGGGTGTCGGCCCCGAAAGACCCTTGGGCACCGGCCCTTCCGAGCGACAAAAAAAGCCGCGGAGGGATTCTCCAGTGTCGCGGCGGTATCGTCGTGATTTACGGCCGGCTGTAATTTTAATGTAATTTAATGTATTAATCCACCGTCGGGTCTCGTGGCTTCCTTGATAAGAAGAAGTGCCGCGTGTGGCCTCGCTCCCGTTCGGCACCGACGCTAATTGCACCGCACAGTTTTTATTGACCCTTTCGGAGATGTTGTCCGGCCCGCTTGAGAGCGCGTTTCGCTGGAGAAACGCTCTTCCCGCGCTCTCGTGGGAGCTGATAATTTGAGAGTTACGGATCAGCGACAATGTGTGAATGCGTGAGACCGAAGTATGTTACACACGAACGAAGAATTTCGGATCTCCGACACTTCGTTATCCCGCGGCAAGTAGTTAATAGCCACGTCACGGCGAGGATAATAAGGGCTGTCAGGTATTAGATGTCGGTCAAGAAAGCGGCGCTGTATTTTTCTCGTTTCTACGAGCCACCCGGGCAGTATGTGCAGGAGGAAGAAGGGTTCCTCCCAAATTACCGTGTGATACCTCCGAGTAAATTTAGAATCGGAGCAATGCGTGTATGCAACTTGCCTTCCACGTAAGTGCGGTGACACGTGTGCGAAACTCCGGTCCTTTAACCCGCGTCTCTCGGTTCGAGCTCTCTCGGATCTCCTCTCGATTTTTCGGAGCTTTTAACTAGGGATAACATTCGACGTGTTCGAAGGCTCGAAACCTCTATAATTCGACATTTGACGACGAAACTCGAAGATTCTAGGTCGGATTATTTGAAACTTCGCACTCGATTCGAAGATTTGAAATATCACAAGAATTTCGGGCAGTTTTGTTCATCGTATATCAATTTGTTTGAAGAATATCTTTGCTTTTCGATATTATTTATACGCTTCCGCTGAAGCGTGAGAAAAAATCGCGAACGCGTTATACTCGAGGGGTATCTCAATCAATTATGAGGAGCTGCCGAAGTGCCCTGGTAAGTTCAAACAGCTTTAGCGGGTAATGAACTTGTTCGAAAAATTCCATGAATACAGTATGAAGCATGAGATAGACTCGCAGGGGCGGTTTATTTTCTACGCGTCATATTAACAGAGTGAAATATCTCGAAGCTATAACCCGCCGTCGGCTATCTCTAGCCTCGCCTGTCACTCCCTTACGACTCGTGCAGTCGGTTTAGCGCAAACGCGAGTGCATCTCTCCTCGCATCGACCACCCGTCGTCCGAAGAGAAAAAATATCACGTCATGGTCGTTAATCTTGCTGCTGTTTCTCGTTTATACGTTTTCTGCTTATTAACTACCGGTGGCTGTCGGTCTACAGTTGCTCAACATTCATTTCCTCGGCACCTAAACCGCGAGAAGAAGGTCTGCCCCGTTCGTATAAATTGAATGTTGTCACATGCGCGAAAGACACGAATTAATTATCGCGCGACCGCTCAGAGATTTGTATCGATGAACAATTCATGTCGAAACAATGCGTCAGAGTTGAATTGCACTTTCTATCTATTCTGCTCAATATCCGTTTCTACCTGGTTCTACCGGTTCTACCTGGTTATAACAAATGATTAACCTGAATTTGCGTATATTGTCTTGGTAGAAAATTGAATCATTTATTCGACGCACATATATTTCGATATTTTATCCCAACTTTTTCAGCTGTAAACTTAACATTTTTTTTTCTTAATATTTTATTTTTCTTTCCTCTATTTTTTTAAACAATTTAACAAAAGTTTTTTATGTACATTTATGCCTTTTATCTGGTACCGAGGTTTGATATGTTTAATAGTGACGTTTCCGACAACAATAACGATGTTCTCCAGCCTCGATAATTTAGAGACTCCGTCGACGGCAATGTTACCGGTCTGTATCGATAGGAAAGGTTTCTGCTCTCGGAAACAACGTAACGTAGCGTTCTCCGATGGCGAAGACGGAAAACACATCTAGTATTAAAAATTCCAGAATTTATATTTCTTAATAAAATTCTTCCTCAATCATGATGGAGGAGAGGGACGCAAATAGGGTAATATTTCTGACCCTATCATATGCTTCTCACTGTTGTGTCGAATTTAGTCACCGACGATCGTCATGTTAGTCACCTTCAATTATCACTGATGGACTAATTTGAAGGCACGAAATTTTGCAAGTGTTTTAATGATTTCATCTGACAATATTTATGTTTAGAATAAACAAAAAACAAATATTTTGAAATATTTGTTGAGTAACTTAATTTTATATAAATGGAAAAATTACTTTATATCAGTGAGAAGGATGAAAGAGAGGGAAGAAAGAATGAGCGAGATAACACGTTTTATAGATTCTAATATGGTCAATATTAACAGTTGGACAGTTAAATTCTCTGGAACACCACATCAACTTACGTTTAACAATACGCTTTTCAGTGTTTTATAACAGACGGTTCACATTAAAAATGAGAATATATAACGAGAATACAATAATTCTCTTATTGCAGCAAATCATTCGTTGGTCCCGTAACGATCAAAGTCATTGCTTCAGATTTATATTTTTAACGATTTCGCATTCAGCATGATGTAAGATATTTGAGCTTCTTTGTGAATATATGCGCGAATGTGTAAACTTTTACAAAATATAACAGAAGCTAAAGATTTGCCCAAAATTTCGCGCGACAAATAGTCCGCCGGTTGATCAGCCTCAATTTAAATATTAAAATTCTCGTTTCAACTCAATTGTAATAATCATTCGGATGCCTACGTACTGTCGCTTCTATTTGTTCTGACGATAATATAACGATATGTAAATTTAACTTCAAATCCGCGTTTCTATATTCCCTTATTGCGAGCCTGAACGTTCGAATTTTGTCAGCTTATTCTTTCGACAGGTCACGCTTTCTTGAATAATTCTAATTCTATTATTGTCCCTGTTGCAGCACAACGTTACAGCAAGTATTAACTCACACATATACATACACTAGGTTACCTATCTGAGCCACTTTATAGTTAGAAAGACATTATTGTATTAGTAATATTATGCGCTTTGAGCCGTCATTGATGCTACAATGTTCATCTGTCATTATTCTAACGACACAGTGACTCCGGGATTATTTACTATTAATATAGAGATTCTTCAAACTAAATCCTGGAAATTAAAACCAGAAATTAGAAAGAATGCACTAAGATAAAAAAGAAAGAAAATAAAATACAAATATATATTATATCGATTATACAACTTTAACATATTTATAATTATTTATAATATATGTATATGTATATATAACATGTTTTACACACACAAATTCAACGTACACGAAAATAACAATAGTAAAGAATTGCAGAACGGAAAATGTCATCGATTCTTCGTGAATGTTCGAAATATATTAACATTTCGGTGGATAATTCTGATCGAAATTATGGGACTAGTTTCTGTCGCGATATTGAACGGATAATCAATTACTTGCATAAGTTACTTTATAGGAGATAACATTAAATTATAAAATATGTACTAAAAGAGAGAGAGAGAGAGAGGGGGGAGGGGGAAGAAAATTAAAATGTTCTACATCTATAGAACAACAAATAAGAATTATGCTCATAGGAAACACGCGATTCAAGGAGTACTCTTTACGCGTGTATAAAATCATACCTGAGACATTACATTTACATCAATACACACTGTTGCAGAGATAACGATCGTGCGTACGTGCGCACGGCTTTCACCACGTTTATATAATGTTCTTACAAGGATATTGTCTAAGAAGTTCGCACAGAAATATCGACGATGCGGCGGCAAAAGTGGCACAAGGTGACATAAAGTACTGCATTACACTTATTACGTTGTTAACACTCCCGGCAAGTCGCAAGACCGATTTCTAATACTGGCAATCTTCTTGCGCGTCCCGACACACATACTTCATCAATCATAATTTGCCTGCTTCCGCTAATTTCTCGTCTGTTGTAATATTGTCATGAAATTATGGATTTAATGGTCGCGCTGGGATAACGAAATACTGCGATATTGAATTCCGAAGGCGTTGAGTAACGCTCCAGGCTCTTCAGCATCGATTAGCCATGATCGAATAAATTTCTCTCAACGAAGAATGTGCTCTTAAAATTATCTCAAGAAAAGCTCCCGTATTTCTACAATACTTAAGGTGATACTTAAGATTCCATCAAACTCCGATTAAACTAATCTACGATTAACCGCTGAAATTACCAACAGCAATCTTTATGTAATAACATTGTAACTTGACGTCCAATAAAATTCAAGGAACTGACAATTCTACCTGTGTCAGGAAATTACAGCAGATATCACTTGACTGACAGTGATTTTAAATACGGATTATGAAATAAGAACGAACAAATTTAATTTCTCCTCAACAACAAACTCTGTGCTTTATTTGCCATGTCGACGATTTTAGCGGCTGAATTAATCGTCGATCGAAATTTGACGAGAGTCATTTGATCGTTAATTAATTCGGAAATTATCACAATCGTTTTCATTGTTCATCGCTCGACTAACCTTCTAATGTCACTCGCCTCTTTAGCTTACTTGGTCCTCGAGAGTCACCGGGTGAAAGGGCAAGCTAATATTGAATGCTACGATCGAAACTAGGACTGATTGCAGGTGGCGGGTGCTAGCGACCTGCAACCACGAGCTATTTGAGCGCGCCATCACTTTGAGACCGATTGCTCCTCGAGGACCTCGTTGGCTCTCAGCTTGATCTCCTTCCAGGAATACTCTATGTCCTTGCTCTCGCTGTATCGAGAACAGATGGATAATCGCAGGAAGAACATATCGTTTATCTTGGACGGGACGAGATGGATGTTTCCGGCGCCGTTGATCCTCTTCAAGAGAGCCTCGTTGAGATCGTTGGAACCCTACAAAAAAAGAATCCATCGTCAAATCGTCCCCTCTATTTCCTCTTGCGTAATTTATTTAAAACGAATGTACGGAAAGAAAAAGATCGAATTAACGTGAACGAGTCAAGCGCTTTTGTTTGAAGAAAACAAAATTTCTGATTCGTAGAGAAAAATAATTTTGCTGCTGTAACAAAATCATCGTTGCTGCGTATTTGTTGCGACAGCGATAAAATTTAGTTTGCGTAAATTCCGTTGCCTTCAATCAAATCGTGTTTGTTTCGGTTTATTGTCACGTTAATTCAACAAATCTTTTTTCTCCCTATGCATATAGTCTTTCGCCCGACCACTTAGACGAGAGAATCGTTATATTCAGCCGTGAATTGATGTAATACACGGCTAAAAAGCTCCTTCGCGGGTATCAGAGAGTGAGAGAGCGATCGATCTACCTTTAAACGGAAGCAAACCAGTCCCATGAGAACTTCGGCGACAATCTCGAAGCGGGGATCGGTGAGAACCATCGCCTCGAACTCGTGCGCTTGAGCGATGTGCTTTCTAATGTACTTCTGGAGATTCTCTATCCCGTAGAGCCTCAGTACGAACCAGAGCTTCAGAGAGCGGAATCTACGGCCGAGTGGGATCTGCCAATGCTGCGATTGAACATACAGAGAGATTAATCAATCATCTCAGAATTGGTTTCCGCGTGACATTCGTATCTCGTATAATATTATATTTAACCGATTAAAGCCAATGGCTAGAAACGTTTTTGATGAATCTTGATTTTCCTTGAAATACCTCTTTCTAACTTTTCTAAACGATTTATAAAATTTCTCATAGGATATTACAGGAAAAATGATTTATCGATATCTGTTGTGCGATATAATTAGACAACGAAATATGAATCCAGACGATGTCAATGTGACTTTACCGTGACTTTTCAGGTAGCGAGACGAAAATGATTATTGATAAAACTTACCCTGTAATCCGGCGCTGAGCCCTGCGTATCGTACTTCAGGTACAAAGGATCAACGTTGAAAGCATTTATGACGTAGGTCGGGTCCTTGAGCCACATAGCGGAGCAGTCGAAATTTACCAACATCCATTTGTGCGGGTTAAAGTTGTACGAGTCCGCCAGCTCGATACCTTTCATCAAGTATCGGTATTCCGGACAGATGAACGCGGAGCCTGCGGATCAAATGTTTTCGCTCACTCCTCGCTTCTCTGTTTCGCGAATCGCTGCTCGAAAAATCTGTCGTTACATCTCAACCGTGGTGTGAGACGAGATTGATTTACCTGCGTAAGCGGCATCCACGTGCAGCCAAACGTCCTCGCGATTCGCCACAACGCCCATTTCGTCGAGACGATCGAAGGCGCAGGAAACGGTGGTACCCAAAGTAGCGACAACCTGCGATTCGGTAGGAGAAATAAGCGCACAAAACATGATAAATTGATCGAGGGAAGAATATCGGTTAAGCTAGACTTACGTAGAACGGTATAAGCCCCTTCTCCTTATCTTCTTGAATCGCCTTCGCCAATACGTCGCCCCGAAGCTTACACTTCTCATCGACCGGCAATAGTCGGAATTTTACTCCGCCGAAAAGTCCGGCCCGTTCCACCGAGCTGTGCGCTTGACCTGAAAAGATACGGTTAATCAAGATAATAATAATAATAATATATATTGAGAAAAGTAGCTTTACATAAATAAGCGTTAATAAACCTATATAAATGAAAAAAATCTAAACAAATATTTAACCGATTAAAGCCAATGGCTAGAAACGTTTTTGATGAATCTTGATTTTCCTTGAAATACCTCTTTCTAACTTTTCTAAACGATTTATAAAATTTCTCATAGGATATTACAGGAAAAATGATTTATCGATATCTGTTGTGCGATGCTAAGGAAATTGCCGACGTCATTTCCGACAATCAAGAACTATTCTCGCGCGTCACTCGTCTCTAGCGATCGTGATAATGCTAAAAGAAAAAAAGAAAACACTCCATTGTTTTAACACAACGGCAGCTGATTGAGATGCAGCGCCACTCCGTCGATATTCCTCGAAAAAAAAAAAGAAAATAGGAATATCATGGCCATTATATCCGTTGTCAGTGGGGAATTTATGGGTCCCATTTTTGTCATTTCGATAAAGCGCCGCGAAATTGTGGAGGTTTCAGAGAGCAGTAGAGAAAGTTCGGTCCGAAATATAACTGGAGCGGTTATTACGAGTTGCCATGGCGACAAAGTGCTGCCTGATGAAGTGCCGCAACCCCGTGCTCACCCTATCATTCCGTACCACTCATCCCCTCCACTCCCACCCTGTTCACATGCCTTTGCACCGATTACGTCTGGTCACTGAAAGCGGCTGGATACTTTTCGAAATTACGTTAGACTACGAATTACGTCCGCCTTCTTCGTTCGAAGTAATACGGCGAAAATGAACTCTCTTGAAAATAAGTGAACTTGAAATTACGGGAGCAACGTGGGAAAAAAGGAAAAAAAAGGTTTAAGAAATTAATGACGCTCGTGATTATATTACAAGGTATACTCACAGGAACAGTACGCGATAAGTTTGTCGATGATCTCAGGATTCGTCCATTCGGGATGTTGCTCCTTGACTTGTTTCAGTTTCTTGGCTTTCGCTCCTAGTAACGCGACCAAGGAAGCTTCGCTGGCAGTTCCCTACATTACGTTGCGAAAGTTCACTTCAAACATTGTTGAAAAATTCCTTTTGTCTTTTAGACATTTTGTTAAAATTAAACGCTTTTAATGCCACTTTGCAACGTCATTTCACCTGAATAACACCGCCACCTTTGCCACCGCTGCAGGCGAGAAATTCCTTCGGCAGATCTATCATTTTCCCTAACCAATCTAGCATTATCACCTCCAACTCAGTACAGGCGGGACTCGCTATCTGCGATTAATAAAAATCAACGTTACAAAATCAGCGAGAAAAAAGATACGACGATAATTACTGTTGGATCGTCGTTTTGTGTCGAAATTCTCAAGTTTTTTTTTTTCTATCTTTCGACTTACCCACGAGAATCCGACGCACGCGATAGCTCCGCTTAACATGTCAGCCACAATAGCAGGATATGATTGCGCGGTGGGAAAGTACGCGTGGAATTTCGGGCTGTGCCAGTGTGTAACCTGCGAATAATTTTATCTTAGTTTATTTATCGTCTGCTTACATGTAATCAATACAGCAAGAGTATATATTTTAACTTCGGTATTGTTCTTTCGTTTCGTGGCGAATCGCTCATTAATCCTCTGTCGCTCAAAAAGTTTTACTTTATAATAAATTCAACATTTCGTTCCAACGACTCGATGACAAAATTAAGAAAATTTTCGATTCTGAAGAAAAGTTGCACAGAGTGCACAGGATTAGTATAGTCGTTGAAATCATTCGATTCCTCACTGTTAGTTGAAAGCTGAGAGTCGGAACTGTTTCGAATTACTTACACCTGGCATTATCACCCTCTCTATGTCGGCCATAATATCTTTCCATTCTTCGGGGCTTTGCGGCGCTTCGGAAGGTAAAAGGGGCTTCATATATCCTGGTTCCACTGTAGGCAACACTCGTCTGAAAATTTACAAGATTCGTATATGTGTAAAATGCGTATTGATTTATTATTAAAATTGGAAAGGACCAGATTATACATATAGGCTATTCTGTTTAATTCATTGTCATATTCTCGCGATTATAGACTATTATTTGAGAAAAATTCCGTTGGTGTAATTGAATTTTCCGTTGCCTGGGGGCCACACGAAAATTTGGTTGTAGATGAAAGATTTCTGTTGCAGTAACTAATGTCTTTTTTTTCATATACTTGATTACGTGACACACGTGTGTAGTTCTCGCTCACCTGTCTCTAATGTTCTGCATATAATTTGTGATGTATTCCGCCATCTCCTTGGCAAAGTCCTTGAAATTATCGGAATCCATGACCTCTTGTTTTCTTCTCGCTGCAATATGCAATAGACGAGAATGACCAAAATGTATGAATATATCGAAGAATATCCGCTCGATATTGCATTGCGCAACGATGCAAATGTAGTAGGTGTGGTCCTATTATTATTCGCATATCAACATGCGCGCAAAATGTACTTTGAACATAGATCTAGCACACATTATACTTTATTATACCCGCGGAAATATTAATTTATCGTTCAAGAATTAACATTCATCTGTCTGCTTTATCTGCGAAAGTGAATAAAGTTCGCATTTCCGTATGTATATTGTGTTACGAGAAGCAACGATAAGAGTCATTTAATGAAAGCATGCGAGATCCTGATTGTTTTGCCGGATTTAAGGATGCGTGTTAATAAACACGGGTTATAGACGAAAAGTCAAAGTGGCACTCGCGTCGGCCGTTAACGACGAGGATTACCTGAGGCGTGGGAATTGCGTTTAGGACGACGACGCGTTTCGGAGACTGCACACGTTGTATTGGCATTTGTTGCATGAGCGAGCTCGACCCACGCGAGTATCGACAAGTGTAACAATTAAAATTATCTCTCATTCGTATGTCATATTTAACGTCATAGTATCACGTGTGGCGACGGATTTCTACCATTTCGGATGTCAAGCATGACGCGCGAAGTGTCCGTTACGAAAGCAGATAATGATCGGCGGCTTCTCACCGCGCGATTCGAGGCATATAATGTCATCGTTTGCGTCAAATCGTCGCGCTTTCCATCCTGTTCGTGAAGAAAAAAATATTAAACAACGCGCGTAAGAACGCTCGGCACTTTGCAGCGAAATACGTTGGACGAATCTGGACGTCGAGCAACGCACGGAGTCTCCGATTACGTGAATCTTGGAAAAGTCGGCGACGAGTAAGGGAGGTGTATATGCGTGTGTTGCCAGATAGAATGTCGACGAGATTGGGCATGGAGGGAGAAGGACGAGATCGCAAGAGAACGATCGAGACGGCCGGCAAAGTCGCCTTCGTAGAGAAGTAAGAGTGAATTCGCGCCGTAGCCGAGTAATGACCATGACTCATTTTCACCGCTGCACGTTCGGCTCGCGATTTCTTGCCTCTCTATCGAACTCGTCTGTTACGGTTTTTTACCCGAATCCCCCGGCGATGACGGACTCGGCGATTTCACAACGCAGATTTTATTGGAATCGGTTTTAAAGAGAGCTCGTGAGAGAGTACGAGAGCTAAATTTTATTCTATATATATTATATTATAGAATCTTTATACATACACAGAAAAAACGAGAGAGAGAGAGAGAGAGAGAAAAGGTTTCTTTCAATTTAGTATGTGTGTTTAATTTTATTTTATTTAATATAAACAACATAATTTAATATCAAATATCTTTTTTTTTTTTTATGAAAACGATGTTTCATTAAAGTAATCCATGTTGTTTGACAGGATAAATAGAGCATTATTTAAAAAATAATAATTGATTTTCAACAAAAAAATTATTTCATTATATATCAAACATTGTTCTACTGAAACAGAGAAATTCTTTAATGTTTTTCCAACATGAACTTCTAATTGTTAGTCACAAAATTGTGAGGCACTAGGTGTTCTTGTTTCGATGTGTCGAATCGCTCCACGGGGATTTTTACGGAAGTAGTTTATCGCACTCTTCCAAATCGTCACGGTAAGTGGGGATAAGTGGGGATAGAGGATAATTGCGCGATAGAGGAAACTCCCGCGGCTCTCCGGGAATCCCCTCTTGCTGCAATAACGGTGTGTTTCTAAGAAGAGCAACACGTGCGGAGGCTTTCCTCGTGAATAAATTATAGATTAGAGAATTATAAATTATAGGTCATTGAGCTTTTTCTGATCGGGAATGTTATCGCAAAGACATCGTGCTGCATTATTTGCGCGTTGCGAAGTTGCCAAGCGGAATAATTTTCGTGAGATTACACACACGATCTGACGCGATCGTTCACTTTGACGTTCTGCTCAACCTAACATTGAATAATATAATTCACAACGTGTAAACGATTAAAGCGGCAGCATATAAAATATACAAAATGAAGTCAACATGTGACTGTTTCCTCAGTTATATAATTATATCGTCAGTTGTTTAATTAGTATTCCGATTAATGCCAATATCCCTGAGCTTAAGCTAAGTCAAATGAGATAACCGCTTTGTAAATTACTTCTCCAATGACAATGCTAATTTGCCCGTACTAACATTATCGCCTGAGAAAAAATTTTATTTAAATATGTTATATAATCGATATTTCTCCGTTAATCAGAGCTATAATTTCCCGATAAATTATAATAGATTATAATATATTTTTGATTATGCCGATGTACTTTGAAAATTCCGATCGATTAAATTGAGAAATCAATTTCTACCTTTTGTTCACAATATGATAATATGATAACAATTTCATGGATAATGCAACTGACTAATGATCCGGATAAAATATAATTATTCCGATAAAAGAGCGGTGTTCTACTTTAAACATATTGCTGTACATTTCGTAACGTCTTTATACCAGGTGTATGCATAAGTTTTTTCCGGTTTTTTGGTAAAAAAAACACGTAATTTTCAAGGGAAATTAAATTTTTTTTTATTCAAAATATTGGCCATCGGCTTCTACACATTT